CATGAGGTCTGCGAGGCAGATGCCTCAGGCCGTCCTGCAGGCCAGGCTGATTCCGAACAGTGCCGCTCTGTCTCTCTCGCGCTCAAGGGGCGTCCCGTGGCGGTGTGAGAGAGACAGAGAGCGACGAAGCTCGGCATCAGCCTGCAGCACGACGGCTCGCCGCTGACACGGCAGGCGCAGCGAGACGCCGTGCATGACAAGAGAGCAGCAAGAAAGACGTCCCTGCGCGGGCCGCAGCTTGGCCAGCCACCTTGTCGATGTGACGTGGATGGGCGGAAATGGAAATACAATTTCGGATTCCCGCTACAGTGGCGTGCAAGCGGCACAGCCCCGCGCCCTCGCGACGCCATGGCGACGCGGCCCGCTGGATCCGCCCTTGCCCTGCAGACCCACTTATCGCGCAGCGAGCGCTGTGCAGCGGATAGCGGATAAGCACACAGACGGGCCTTGTGGGCTCCACTCCGTCCAAGAATGTGTCGTCATGGAATTCCTGGGCAGTGCGTCCAGCCTCGGCCAGTCAGCCTCGGCCGGCGCGGCGCACGACACGACAACACAACACGCACTCCGAAGCCGAGGGACCTGCCGGACCGAACCAACGCGGGTTTTGGGCCCAGCCAGACGAATCTGTCCAAACCGTGAGGGTCCGGTCGGCAAGTCCCGCGGCAGCAATGTATGAAACATGGAAACAACAGCGGAAGGAGGAGGACCAGGACCCCGCCGGACGGACGGCATCCTCAGTCCGCACACCCTCTCGCTCGCCCTCTCGCCCTGTCGCCCTCGCCAATGCGGTGGCCAGTTTTTTCGACCCCCAAATTCCCCCTCCAACTGCATCCAAACAAAGGCCGCCATACAAATAATCCGAAAGGACTGTTCATGAGCATGTCCAAAAGCCCAACAAAGTAATCCCCCCTCCACTGTAACGTTGGGCTACACGCACAAAAATGTCTGGGGGATCTGCGAGACCGCTAAGCGGAAAAGCTGAGCATAACCTCGCAGCAGGGTTAAGTAGTTCTATTAGACATGCTGCCCGCCACGGCGCCGCGTCCTAGCCGTGCCCCAAATTTTAAAGCATCACGACCGAGGACTTGGACCATGCACAGGGTAGAACAAGGATCACGACACCACAAGTAGTACGTGCATTCCGGACGAGGCCGCCACAGTGATCGCAGGATCGAATCTCGGCCCTATTCCCATTTTGGCGGCATTGCAGACGCGCCGGCTTGCTCACTGCTACTCACCGGTTCGGGCCCCGTCCGCGCACGACGCCGTGGGTCACAGACCAGAACGGCCCGCAAGTTAGTTACCACTCGGGGACTCTACAGTGGTCGCAAACTTACGAGCCGTTCGGATTCGGAACTATGAGGGAGGGGGCCCGGCCAAGCCAGGGCCCAGCCAGGGCCCCCGGGCCCGCGGGGGGCGTAGGGAGGCGCCGGCACACTGTCGCGACCGCGACGCCGCGCCACGCCGCGCGCGTAGCGAGCAGCGCCAGCCTTCCGCGAGTCCGCGAGTCCGCGGGGAAGTCTATCCGCGAAGCGCGAAGGCTGCGTGTTGACGCTCCACGCTCCTCAAACTGCACCGCTGTTCCGTTCGCACTGTTGGCACTGTTCACCTTCACGGGGGTCATCACATCACTGACTGCTGCGCGCGGCGGCGGCGCGGCGGTGGCGCGGCGCGGGGCGACGGACGGGCGGCGGGGCGACGGGCGGGGCGGGCTGCTGCTCAGATCCTGGGCTCGCCGGCGCCGCTGCTGCAGCATCGCCGGCCAGCGGCAGCGTGTTCGGGTGCCTTCGGGTGGCGTTCGGCTGACGTTCGGCCGGCATTCGGCCATTCGGCCTCACTCACGGTCAAGACGAGCTTCGCCCGGGCCAGGACACGCACGAAACACGAAGGAGCGCGCCGACCCGAACCTCCACAGAACGCGACGCCCTTCTCTCTCGCTCTGCCGGTGCTCGATGGGGGCCGCGCCGCGGCAGCCAGCCGTTCGTTGAGGGAGAGGTGGTCCTTTCGGAAGGGATAGGACGGCTTTTGTGCGAACGCAAGCCTTCGCAGACCACGCGGATCGAAACCCGAAGACAACAAATGATATCCAGGGAAAAGAGAAGGGGGAAGGGCGCGTGGCACGCGTGACACTATTGTTGGAAGCGTCCGCAACGCCCCTTGGAGCAGGTGGCAGGCCATGGCGAAGCGACGCCGGCCACGCTGACCACGCTGACCACCTGCTCCACTCGCACCGCACGCCGCACGCCGCGCACGCGTCGCCCGCTCGATCGGCCCCGACCCCCGCGCGAGCGGCGCGAGCACGGCCTTGTTTCATCGGCAGAAAAAAACGAAACAAGGATGATCGCGTGAGCAGGCCAGTGGCGCGGGGCGGGGCGGGGATTCGAACGCAGGACACATCTAGCTCGCAGCCTTCACCACCCCAGGATACCCAAGGACACCCCAGGCCCGCCAAGCCCCAAGGCGCGGAGCGCAGATTCGCAGATTGCGCAGAAGCGGTTGCTCGCTGGTTGGTCCTTCGTCCTTCGGTCCCATGTCACGAAGTCGCCCTCTCGCACCGCCTGCGCGGCGCTCCGAGGGGTAGAAACTGTTTACCTCGTCCATCCCCTCCGCGATGGCTACCCCTAGGATAAGGCAGGGTCGGTGTCGTAGGTCCAGGTGCTGTCCCTAACCCTAAAAAAGGAGGGGTGGGGGGAGCGTTCTTTAAAAATGGGTCGCCGGGTCCGCGGCCGAAACCGCCGCGTCGCGTTGCCGTCGTCACATCGTGCCGTCCTCGTCACGCGGTCCGCACCGCGGGTCCGCGGCCAGAAGCAACGACACCGTACGCACCGCACTCCCCTCGCTGGACCCCAGCAGACTGACTCCGAGGGCCGTTTTCGTCTCTCTGTCTCTCCCGTATCTGTAGGGGACGTGTCATGAGTGTGAGAGAGACAGAGCGACAGAAACGACTTTCGGATTGAGTTGCACCCTGGACCTGCGGACCAGCCTCGTGCTTCCCAACGCGGCCGTGCTGTGCCAGGCAAGCCTACTGGCAAGCCTCCCCTGCATATGCAACATGCACCCCGTCCCCGTGATTGACAGAAGTATTCCTCCAGGCTGTGGATTCCGGCGGAGCGTGACGCCGAGCGAGGGCGCGTCCGGGAGCGAGGAGCGAACTGTCACGCGTCTTGTCCTTTCGTGTTTCGCGTCCTTTCCCGACACTTCTCGATACATACATAGTTGCTCGTGTTCTCCTACTCTCGAATGCTTTCGGCGAAACAACGCGACGAGCGCTGACGTGCGGGCGCGGAGCGGGGCTTTCCGGCCGCCCAGCTGCGGCGCAGGATTCTGGCTTCTACAAGGGATGTTCCTAGTGTACCGAGAGGCCGGGGGCGGAGGCATGGCGGAGGGGGTGCACTCTGCTGCACATGCCGCGCGCAGGCGCGCATACCGGGGTCCGCCGGGGAGGCCCGGGCTGCCGATACTGCAAGAAAAGCGGATGGGCCAGGAGGACAGCACTTTCACGATACCTGCCGTCCCGGCCCGGGGCCGGCCTGCCAGCTCCAAACAAACAGCTCGTCAGGCGGTGCAGGCGGTGCGCTTATAAGCCGCCTCCCCCCCCCCCTTACCCCTGCGTCCCCAGCACGCATAGCCAGCATTGCCAGCACATTGCTAGGACCTGTTGAACAAGACAAAGGATGGTCTCCACGTGGTCGGCAAGGCACGCGGCCAATTCCCCCCTCTCCTTTCCCCGCCGCCCCCGCGGTGCCGTTCCGGCCTTCAACGCTGCGAGGAATGAGCAGGAGCTGCGAAAACCGAAACCCCCTATCACTAGTACTCGGGCAATCTAGAAGCACTCGCGGCGGCGGCCTCGATGGACTCGGGGAAGCTCCCGCCAGGAGCACGGGGCCGTCGGAGGAGAACGGCCGGCGAAGGCCCGCGAGTGGGAGAGAGAGAGGCCAGTGCCGCAATTGATAAACGAGATGATGTGACAGCCCTGTCCACACTGGACGTCTGCCACGCCCGGCCGCAGCATGCAGTGTGGGACGAAGACGAAGCACGCACCTTGTCCGCCAGCTCCGCCAGGATGATGCTCGAGATTCAATTCATTCATCGATTCTTATAAACAATCCCGTCCGGGGATCGGAGACTGCGGGAAGACCGGCGCTGACGCGCGCCACGACACTCTCTTCCTTCTGGCCTTCCTGGTCCCGGGCTTCCCTCCCTCTGAGATCGCGTGGAACACTCACAAGCACCGTGAACGCGTCGCAACTGAATCGGCAGCACAACAAGCAGGGCTGGACTCTGGATTGGATGCCAGGCCAGGGCCAGGGGGCGCTTCAAGCGCCCGGCAGCAGTAAATGGGAAGGGGCGGCACTGAGCACTGGGCGGGCCACGAAGGGTTGCCTACCCGCCCGGCGGCTGGCGAGGCTGGACAGACTAGACGCGACTCCAGTGACACGCACCGCGGCCACGGCTCTGGGCGCACTGACGGGACGGGCGTCGCATCACAGCGCCGTCTCGTCTCGATTCGTCTCGCTATTGCGGCCCGCCGTGCCGCGACGCCGTGCCGTGTCACTCAGCGTGGGCGTCGCCCAGCGCCGCGCAGCCGTCCGTCCAGCCGCGCCTAGCCGCGCCGAGCCCAGCCCCGGCCTGCCGTTGCCGGCGTGGTGGTTGGTTCGGCCACGGTTCGACTTCCACCAGGGCCACCAGTTAGCCAAGTTGGCGCTGTCGCCGGCCGGTGGGTCACTGGTGGCAGTCACTGCGCGTCAGGGGCACCGCGACGACCGCGGGGTCACAATGTCAGAGATGACTGCCAAGGTGGTCTAAGTGAAAGCCTCTGCCGCACTGGCGCGTAGGCAACCCTATGGACGCTCAGGCGACAGCGTAAGAACAACCACAACGCCCTCCCAGTCGCAAGCGTGTCAACCACTGTAAGACTCTGGAGCGTACCTGAAATCTCTGGAACCCGACATGGCATTCCAGGCTCACGACCCACCAATGAATTAGACGCAAGTCCGCAGTTTAACTAGAAACTCTCTTTATTCGTCATTAGCCTTGATCATTATTATTGGAAATAAACTTTCACTATAAGTAGTTACAAGCTCTGGTTTCATCTCATGACAGTAGCTTTAAGGGTTGGTCTGATCACAAAGACACAGGGAAAGTTGTTAAAAAATGAAATGGAATTGTTACAAAGGGGGCAACAAGGCATACTGTACAAGATCAAAAGGTAAAAAAAAAAGAGAAAAGATTCTTGACATAATAAAAAGTAAGCATATATTACTCTTACTCCCAAGAGAAAAAAAAACAACTACAATTCCTGCCCAGCACTATACAAGTATCACCTTAGTATTTTAAAAAATCCATACAAAATTCACAAACACACACAGTTGACATTCACACATGCATTTTGAATTCAGAACCAAATTTATTCCGGTTCTTTTCAAGTTACCAAAAATACAAACAGCTTTATAAAAGGGTCTTCTGTGGCACATGCACACCTTAAACAGTGATTTAGTTTTTGTTCGTATTACTTAAATAATATCATACACAACATACCACATCACAGGGACTGTAGAAAAGTTTAATCTCTCACTCAATTACCATGTGCCTGACACACAAGTTCAACATCAATTGATAACTAGCTATTGGCATCAACATTTCCCTACAAAGGTTCCAAACATTTCTCTTTTTCTTATTCTGCTTCAATCCAAACTCCACATTCACTTATCTCTGAGAAACAAAATGTTCCTGGTAGTGCAGTAGATGTTATAATTATCATCATCATCATCAAACATTTTGAACCACAATGAGTACAGAAATGAAATAGACTTCCATGGTTTGAACAAAAGAAACAAAACCATTGTAGTGAAGTCATGTGCACTTCTGTAAAAGTTGGGACCAGAGAGTTGAACAACAACCATTACTAAAGAGATATTTTTTGATTCCCTTACGATGTCATCATGGATGTGTCACTGATGACAGATGCAACCATATTAGGACCCTTAAGAGAATCATTGATGTCCCTTCTGAACATAGAGAGATTTTGAGTGAACCTGTTGACAAGAAATACAAATAGTTCAGTTGGATTTAGAAAAAAGTTCAATTTATCAAATTATACTCTGACCAGAAAACGAAGAGCCCTAGGTTCTCGCGGTCGAGGGCTACCTGCAATGCTAGCCAAGGCGGCAGGCGCCATAAACCGCGAGAACTCAGGGCTCTTCGTTTTCGGGTTAGAATATAGAGGAGTAATTATATACCTATCTCGATTCTTGGTAAGAAGATTTCTTTCAATTCCATCCATCAAATTTTCAAACCATTGGGCCATTGAAGCTTGCTTATCTGGAGGTTGGGTTCGGACGATGTTCTCTCGAAGTTGATTAAAATACTGAAAATACCGAAATCAAACACCATTAGAAATTTAAAATGTTTGTTAATAACAAAAAAAGTGGCTGACAATTCACATACTTCCTCATTGAGAAGGATGAGCCCAAGAAGTGGCCTTGACATGGACCATTGATTTCGGCAGTCCTCAAACATGATAGTGTTTAATACAGTTGATAAAATTTGTTGAAGTATTTCGGGATGGCAATCCAAAACTTGTAAAAACATATCTGAAGAAGGCTGAACTCCACGTCGGGGCTTTTTACCTGCATCACCAAAATCGAGAATTCAAAACAAAAGCATACTTTTGTTGTTAAAGGCAGAGACTAGAATTCCAGTTACCTTTTTGAGTTAATTGTTTAAAAAGGTGTGTTACAATATTGTCTAAAGTTGCACAGCAACTTGTGCAAACCATTGTATCTGCAACAAATATAAGTAAACAAAGATTGTAAAAAAAAAAAATTGATAAAGAAACACCCATGGTGTGACCCTAAGTGGTAGATAAAGCTTCAAAATGACATTCTTTATGATAAAAATTTGAAATAATTAATTAATAATTAAAACCCTCTCTCCATCGCTTTCCAGTTACAGCAAAATTCCCAGGTATACCAGAGGTAGCACAACATTATCTCACCAAACAACTCTGAAGTGCAGACCTAAGCATACACATACAGATCATTAACACATCTGATCAAAAGTTGGATGAACAGGATTTTAACCCCTATAAAGCTTTATTACAATTAATTTGTTTTTTCCAAGTCAGAAAAAGATGTTGTAAATCTGGATGAAATGAAAATGTCACAAAAATGAAAACACTATGTGTAAATTCTCCCTGGAAAAAAATGATTATTAAAGCATTCACACACTGAAATGAATCACAAGTTAAAGCAACATGCATGCACATTTGTAGGGGCCTGGAACATAGGTGTGTTGACAAACCTGCACACAGTGAGGGTGAATTTACCTAGCACATCTGAATCTTTTACTAGGTACACACTGGAGTTTGGAACATAAATTTAACTAAATCTAGAAATATAGCACAGTGCAGCTAGGGCAGAAAGACCAGGGAACACATTAAACTGAGGAGCAAAAGAGTAACTTCATATCAATAATCAATAAAAAATTGATTTGCGCAGTTTTCCAATGAAATTGCAGCACACACGCAAACTAAATTGACTTCAGAAGGGCTTGGGGCAAGGCATTGGTACAGATGTTGAGCCAAAAAACATATCAAGAATAAATTACATTTTCCACTCCCGCATTTACAAAATTAAGAGTAAGATGTAAGAAAATATATTTTCTGAGAAAGCATAGTGAGCAAGCTTCCTGAGTGCAAACATTATAAAATTATTCCAATTTCTTTGCACGAGCCAATTCTGCTAACTATAAAAGCAGGCTGGTTAAACAGAAAGATTCAGTTGAAGCACAAAGTGATTGAAGATGTTATGTTCAAGTTAAGCAGCCTAGCATGCAAGTAAATGACTATGTCCAAGCTGTTGCTTATTTTCCATGCTCCTCTTTGAGGTCCCAAAGTGCTCAAATATTAGCACTTTGCTAATATTGTTGATATTTTTTGTAAAAAGGCATCTCTCTTTACATTGACCAACTACAGACATTACTTAGTACCAGAAGCTATTATTCCCATTAAGGGCTCCATACATACAAATGAAAGATTGTGTACAAAGTTTAAGAGTCTGAATGGAAGACAGTACCATTGGCTGAAACTAACTTAGTACTGTTCAACAAAGGCCAGATGTAAAAGAGAGAAACCGTAAGACATATGGTAAGGAAATTAATAATAATAATAATAAAATGAAAAAGAGTTAATTTGTTATCACGAATTAGGAACTGAATAAATGAATGCATCAGGAAAATTCAGAGAAGTTCAAATAAAAGTATGCCTTGGAATAGAGGCTGCTGTTTGCGTGTGTGGGCCACATAGTAAAAACAACAGCAATTATCATTAACCATAAGACTCCATAGGCGAGAGGCAAATGCCCAGAAGGCTTATGATTTCCATTTAAACTTTGACTGGAACCACAAAAATTTTGGTCTGATTTCTTAAGCTTCCCTTCCTAGCTGCACTGTACCTGTGAAATGATTCAGTGTCCCACCTATAGCAGTCAGTCCATCTGAGATGGATGACATAATGCACAAAAACACATGAGGCTCCAAGGTGGCTAGAAAGGTCATGTGGTCTTGTGCTAAGCAATCCAAGAGCAGGTAGTATGTCTGGGACAATTTAGGGTAATCCTAGAAAGAAACAAAAAAGATTGGATTAAGAATTAGTACCACTGAATGGAAACAACTCAGCACAACAATTGAACTTACTAATAGATCAGTATGGGGAATAGACAGCAGAAGTTTCACAAAAGTTTTCAATGCATCATCAAGGGCTTCATCATTGTATAGACGAAATACTCCAAAGTTAACATAACTGCCACATAGTGCTGCTTTTAGCATTGAGAAACAGACAGATATTCCTTTCAACTTCATTGGATACATTTGTTCTTTGCTCACTTCTACATTAAGTATATTCTGGCCTGAAAACAAAGCAACACCTTAATCTGAAGCTATCCAACAAAACAGCTTTTTGCAATAAAGGCATCAACTACTGCAAAGTAGGCATACCATAACTGCAGATGATTTTACTGGCTTCTCTGAACAGCAGTATACCATTTGGGGAGGACACATCAAATAACAATCTTTGAGATCGGTTTTGAACCAACTCAGTGAAAAGTTTTAGCACCGGGGTGGTAACCTGGGGTTCCCTGAACCACAGCTGCATTGCATGTAATAGAATGGGTGTGTAGGCTGGATATCTGAGAAAAAGCTTAAGGAATAAAACATGTTTTGAAAACAAAAATTAACAAAATAAACAAGGTGTCTACATTAACATTCTTTCAAGGATACACCCAATCAAACAACATCATGTATGAAGGTTTGGTATTAAAAGCAAAGGCAAGTCCGCGCAAGTCTCTGGCTAAACCAATAAGAGCTTTTTTGGCTTCTTCAGCTGCAAACATGGGAGTTTCTGCCAAAGCTAACATTGAACCTATGGATTCAAACGCAGCTGTAAAAAGCAGACACAAATCAAAATGTTTAATATGAAAGAACATGATAAATAAGGTGGTCTGTTTGCAAATGTTTTAATATACATACCAGTCAAGGGTAACATGAATTGGTCAAATCTATCTTCATCCTCACCAAGATCAACCATCAAAAGACGTCCCAGGGAAGTGTAGAACATTGTACGACATCGCATTTCACTTACAGCCACAGAATTTCCGAGGAAAGGGAAATGTTCACTCTGCCAGACAGACAATTTGCCACATATTATTGAAACAATCATAAAATAAAATTCACTTATGAATGTGTCACACAATCATGGCTTCTTACAGTGTGATTGTTCAACATAAATTGAACTTCATCCAGTTTTACAAGTTTTCTCACACAACTATAACCAACAGACAAATCATTCAAAAGCTGAAGCGTTTTTGTAATAATCTGTTCACTCCGACCCCAAAATTTAAGATTTGTGATGCTGCAACAAAAAACAATGTACAAATAATATAGCTAAAGAAGGTACTTTTAAAATGTACTTTTAGAGTTACGTTAAAAAAAAAGAGACAGTTTAACTTACATTTTCCTAATGAAAACACTTAAAACCATAGAATCCTCACTAAGCCCTAATACCTCAGACAGTCTTCTATAAACTTTGGAATTTTTCTGAACCTGGAAATAAGAAACATTACTATCTCAGAATACAAATAATCAAGAACTGATATCTGACAAAATAAGAAGTCACTTATGTCACCTTACCTGGTCACCTACATATATTTTACGAAACTGTTCAAAAAAGCTTAGCATTGCTAATTCTAACTTTTCACAGCCACCTTGGGGCAGTCGAGAATCAGTTAAATTCATCAGTTGAAGTACCCTAAAAAAAAATGGCAGAAGATATTACAGCATAAACTGCACGGCAATCTACAGACATATTTTTTCATGAGTTTGTTTCTTACCTACAAACCAGTTCCCCATCCATAGCATCATGTTCCTCATTACTATTGAAGGATACTCTTCCATTAATGGCTGATCCAATTATGTACACTAACCATGTGAGGCGGCCTGAAAAAGAGAACAAGTGCAACTCTCAGCATGAACTGTGATTAAGTTAACTGAGAGATGGGAAAGCTGGTTGAGACTCATTCTTACCTTCCTGAATGGATATATCTATTTGTACTGAAGTTGGAGTGCTTATGAGCTCCTGGTAAAGACGTGCAGCTTGGTCAAATAATGTTACAAGCAGTGCACATGTTTTCTGGTATTCACAACGTCCTATGACTGAAAGCTGTTCTAGCTGTTGATGTACCATACCTAAGTCATCTAGAGGATCCTCCAAGCCCTCTCTGGAAACAGTAATGTACACTGGTAAGCTGCAGCACTAACCAATAAATTAAGTACCCATCCCAAGTTAAAAGGGAAGCTTATAAAATACCTAACAACAACAGCCACTGATTCCAATCTTGATGTGATGTAAGCATTGGTTACTTCAGGGGTATAAGTTTCTAGCAAATGAGGTTCTTTAGCCTTCACATAAGGTACTGAGGCTACCATACGTTGCCAGAGACTAAGTAGATAATGGACACTATTGGGGGCAAATTGCCACATCTGAAAGAGAACTTCATATTAGTAAAACTTAAGAAAACTTCATCATACTTTTTTTTTTTTAATTTTGGACTTAAAAAAAAAGCCACACCTGAAGACTTTCAACTGTGAATTTGGCAACAAGCTGAATTGCTTCAGGATAATTATCCACCATTACTAATTCACCAAGCTGGTAATTAGACTTCAAGCGAGCAAGAAGTCGGCAAAACTCGTGGTAATTACTAGGATCACTCAACCCCTGCAATGTAACAACACAATTTTTATTATCAAACATCACTGTAGTATCTAAATAAAAAGAAAAAATTAATTTACAAACCTGAGGGTTCAGGAGTACTTGTTTAACACCATTTACAAGATGTGTAAGGAACTTCCCTCTCTCTGTGTTGCTGAACAGCGATCGCCGAACCGACGCAATTTGTACAACACAAGACAAGGCCTGGAACCACAAGAGAAAATTGAGGGTATTTAAGGATGTTCTTCAGAAGAAAACACAAAAATGAGATAAAGCCAAAACTTTCCCATGCATACTAACAAGAGGTGAAAGGGTAGTCGGCAATGAGTGGTACAGATCGAAAAACAATTTCAGAGTGGAGAAGTCGAGGAAAGCTGGCCGCCAGCTAGTTGGACAGTGAACAGTACACAAATCATCTGATGACTCATCTGTTGACGTTCCGATAAAATCAAATGTCAAGCAGTTGTGTGCTAATCTTAGGAGCTGAGTTAGAAGACCATGCTGTCAAAATAAAAATCACAACACACATTTAGAATAACTGCATAAAAATTTAGTGAGATGCCTTATGGCAAACAGGATTGAGAAATCAATACATACCTGTCCTTCATCATTAAAATTTAAACTTTTGCAATTTCCATTAGCTGTTCCTAGTAGAGTGCAAGAAAGTCTGAATATTTCAAATAGTTGTGTATCTCGAAACGACGATGCAATCTTCCTATGTTTAGTCAAAGAGCGGTTGGCATCAGCTTCTGATATTTGATTCATTTCACATGTTAGCTGAGAGAGAAGCTGAACTCCAATCATGCAATGTTCAACCGAACCCTGAAAGGTAATGCTCCAAATTAGAACTAATGTAACAATTAATTTACTCAGTTAGGAACACAAAGTACTGTGGCACTTACCTGCAAAAATTTTGTCACATCAGTAACAACATTGCGAAACACAAATTCATCTTTATCATTATCAAACCAGCCTAGTTTTGATATTCTTGCAAACAAAGTAACAAGTGCTTGAATGACAAATCCAGGAAGCTTAGGCTGAGTAGCTAAATAATTCAAAATGTAATTTCCTAAAGGGTGGAAAATTTAAAAAAATGTAATTTTATCACAGATAATGTACGCAGTCAGAAGAGCACACAGACAATGAGACATAACTTACGAATGTCCACTCTTTGCTGAAGACTGAGACCCTGTGCTGATCTGGACACGAGTTTGGTGAGCGTTGTGGCGGCCAAGAGCTGGGCATAGGGAGAGTCCCCACGGTCAAGAAGAAGTTGACACTTTGATAGCGTGTCTGGAGCATTTTGAAATCCAACTAATGCCTTTTCAGCCTCAACACGTTGAGCAGAGTCTTGTGATTCATATAACTGTTTGCAAAGCAATTCTAACTGATGTACCTCCTGAAACAAAATTAAACCAAATTATTATGGCAGCTGACAGTAGCATTCACTGAACTAAAAAGAATGGGGTAAAATATTGAAAACGGTTCCCCCATTCATGTAGCTTTGAAAATTTATTTATTTTTGACTTTTGTTCGCGTCAAGATGTGAAGGTTATGATTACAAAATCAGATGGCAAGGTTATGGGATAAAAATCACATGAACTTCAACACAGCAGTTGCTCATTGATCAAATGATTGAGATCCTATGACAGAAGGAATCTGAGACCAGTGTGGTGTTTGAATAAGAACATTAAGGACAATTTGTACCATTGTGTTGACTTTGTTGATATCTGCATCATTGCTCCCTCACTGACATATCACGACGCAAAACGGAAAACAGGCCATGGGTCCATCACAAGCGACACGCAAGGGCATAAATCGGAATACCAGTGTCTAACAGGCACAAGTTCATCAGTATACGGAAGTTTGTGAGCAAGTGTACAAGCCTACAGAGTACACTAGGACAGGACGACGGACCTGGCCCAACGACACAGTCACAGACCACAGGGGACAGCCGACACGGGAAGGTTAAGGCGGGCGGTTGCTGACAAATGCAAAAAGTACTGACAGGACGCCGGGACTGCCAGTCAGTTACGACAATCCTGTCAGAAAGCGAGACACGGCGCAGCAATACATCGAGCTCCTAAAATATTTATATTCAGAGAATTCAATGAATTACAGACGAGAAAACTTGACCACCAGAACCGCCCGTTCCCGCGATCATGAAACGATCTGGCCATTGTCCGGTGTCGCGAATAACACGTCCCATAATAACAGCAATAATGTAGAGTCTTGACCGATGCCGGTTAATACAATAATCTAGCAAAATAAAGTAAATTTGAAACTTGTTTGGCTCACCTGTTCGTCCGCCATTTTCACTTTGCATCGGCATCAGGGGAAGCGAACGCAGCGCTATCTGCAAACAACGAAGAGCGTTTTGAAACTACGAATCTGTGCTTCTAGTCAGAGATTAAAGTGCTTGGTGGCAAGCGATGAAATGCCTAAAGAGCGCCCATAAAACGTAGAGAACGTACTATGGCAACATTTCAATCAACAGTCCGGCAGTAAAAGTGATGCAAAGTAAAATGTTTGCCCCTAAACGCAATCATTCGTGACGTCATAAACGAATCTACAACGACGAACAAAACACTACCGGCAGAGGATTGCAGTGCCAACTCTCAAAACTAAAGATTTTAGTTTCAGGACACTGGAAACAACATAATTTCTTTTCATTTCGTCAAAACTGAAATGAGAACGTAATAAAATATTGAAATAAATTTAGAATAAGTAAGGGAGTTGTCTGAAAAGCTACGTGACTGAGATTGTTTGTAACCGTGTTGGAGACTGCGGTTTGCTGTTTTTGTAAACACAAACACACACACTCACCCTTTCCCGTTTCAACTTGTCTGAACTTGCACTGTTTCTGCATTGCCGTATGCAGCCATTGCACGTTTTGACTCTCTGGCAAGCTCACTCCTGTTCTACTTGTTGTCACTGAATCACTGAAACTGAGTCACTGTGACCATGGACGTTGTTTGTGTTCCCGTTCCCCGTTTCTCCCTGGGCGACGTCTGCTCCGCAGTAAAGTGAGTACCTTCAACAGTTGCGGTGAGCCTTGGTGGGGCTGCTCTGAGTGTGAAATTTGTGAATGCAGTAGGGTACGCCCACAGTGATCTAACGCCCTCGATCTTTCGAACAGCTCCATAATGACTCGCGAGTTTAAGCTTGAATCAGAGTCTGATCTGTCTCCATCAGATATGGACGAAAGCGTTTGCAGTGCTCAAGAGGAACTCACAGGTGATATTTACTCTCCCGCATTTTCGTCCCTTTTCAATTGCATCTCAAATGGAAGCTAACTGTACTTTTTTAACATTACAGCATCCTGCCAGGACACTCCAGACACTGAGAGTGAATCGTCATCACTGGAATCCGAGTTTTCAGTAGCATCTTCAGCGTCACATTGTCCAACTTTACCTGAAATTTCTTCTGGACCAGAAGTAAGTGTCACGATAAACGTGATAAATGTGCTGATTTCCCTCTAAATTACTCAATATCTATTTTTATTCTTTCCCTGGTAGGATATTTATGAAGCTGCCAACCTTGCCTTTGCAACAGCTAAGCAGAGCAGATGCATTAGATGCCATAACGTTAAAAGCTCCCCTTTTCTCTATTGTCGTGGGTGTCACAAGGTAAGTGTTAAATTATGATTCTAAGAATGTCCCGTTACAATTTCAAAATATTCTTACTTCATCAATTTTTCTTTTCAAGGACCGCAAACGATTTTTTCCGCCTTGTCCAAGAAGAAAAAAAAAAGTTATTGGAAAATTGAACAGTTCTATCAAAAGTTCAGGTACTACTTTCTTAGTCAATAGTCAGGAATGTCACTGCATCTTTTCATGGTTTCACAGCCTCACTTTCTGTTTCTTGCAGAACCCAATTCCTCACAATCTACATCTGATGAAATGAAGCCTGATGAAACCTCTGTGAGGCCAACTGTTTGTGGATGTTGCATGGATGCTCCATGCAATGGCATATTTGTCCATGGAGATGTAGGTCACCAGATTTACTGCTATAGATGTTCTCACCGGCTTTGGCTAGAAAGAAAATTATGTCCTTACTGCAATAGAAGTATTTCAAAAGTTGTTAAACTTTTTCAAGTTGTGTAGAATTAACTTACCAGGGGATAATTTAAAATGTAAATAATGCAGAAATCACTAAGCATGACTTGAGGTTGGTCATTTAATTCATTTTATTCCTATCTACAAATTCATTTAAAGAGAGAAGACATGAGACTAATATAGTCATAATTTTTAAAATCTTAGTCAAAATAAAGTTACTGTAACTATTTTTTCATTAGCTCTCCTTACTTGAAAGTTCCAGCAAAAATATAAACCACCATCCACTTGAATAATATGAAAGAGAATTATGTGCATATACTGATGATACATTGTCCTAACTAATTTGCCAAAAAATGAGGCCTTGAAAAATATACAAATTAGTGGGAAATGATTAAAAATAGTTCAAATTAGTAGTCTGATCCAAGAACATAGATGATATATCGTTATGTGACAAATCTGAAAGACGACTAGCATATGGTGAGTTCCAGTCCCTTTCAAAAATAGATTGCAACTGGTCACGAATAGGAAGAGGATTTTTCTTACGATTAGAAATGGAAGGTTTCACAACTAATCCTACCCCAGCAGTGTCAACAAAATAATCCCCAGACCAATTTGAAGTGCCAATGTATGCAGCATTATCAGTTACCATATACTTGTTATGGTTTACCCGTGCAAAGGGTATTTTTTGCTGGTCAGGAGTTGCGGGAACTCTGAACAGCTTCTGAAAATTCAATTAAAAAGAAAAATGAATTAGATGTGAGACTTGGCACGAGTATACTTGATTCTGATGACACTTTTTGTTTATCTTGTAACTGGAGAGCAAATGGGAAATAATGGTCTTATACTCACAACTTCAATGTTGACATTCTTGTAAGAGCCAGAAACTTCTTCCAGTGACTTCAGAAATTGAATCTCTGCCCTTCTGGTGTGGTTCCAAGATGACATTAGAATTCGAACATTTACTGTATTATTTAATGCTGCAGCTAGCAGTGCATTGTTAAAAATGGGCCAATACCTTTAGAAAAAATGATGAAAAAGATGACATAAACATAAATTTTATTTCCTACAGCTTGATAAAATTGAAAACCATGTCTTACTTTGGCCTTGGTGTGTAGATCATCATAGGGATGTAGTCCATGACTGATATGTAGACAAACTTTTCAGATTTTGAAATTATGTCAACTATAGTGTCTCCATCCCCTGACCGCCCTCCTGGACAGAAGGGTGGGGGGGAACTAGAAAGGAAAGTGTTGGCTCGAACTCCATTCAAAGTTAAATTCATTGGCTTGACCATATTGAATTCAGTGCTATATGTCTGCGGCCATCTAGGAGGAATCACAGCCTCCTCTGTGCCAAGGTCCCAGTAAACATTAAATATTTTTAACAAGTCATTTGCCATACATGGACAGTCATAAATGACAGCCCCCAATTCTTTCACCTACAAGCAAGAAAATGACGGGGAGGCAAGAAAAAAAAAAGAAGATAAAAATAGAAACTCTCAGCAGCAAATTCACTTAATTTTTTTTAAGATTGCTGTGACTAATGCACCAATTATAAACCATACCTGAGTCAGAGAGCGCCAGTCCATATTTGCACTTCCAAGATAGACATGCTTGCGGTCTACAATCCAAAATTTAGTGTGCAAGACACCTCCTCCTAGCAAACGAGCAAAATTCAAGCTTCTAACCTGTCAAAAGTAGAAAAGAACTTCATCAGAAACCAAGAAACACTGCTGCCACAGATGTGGAATGCAACTTTATACTTAATCACTATGTAGAATAATGGGCAACTTCACCTCTGCAAGACCTTTCTTCACAAGTTCTTCAGTATCAGGGCTGGGCATATCCCGGGAGGGAGAATTCTGAGCAATTCTCAATTTGATGTTCCGTTCTGCTGATGCTTCTAAAAGGTTCTTGAATATGTCTTCACCCTAGTAAATAAAAACAACTAGGATAAAGAGGAAGCACACTGCAGTGGGAAAGCCTAAATGATCTCAAGGATTAAGGATTACTATAAGGTTATTAGGCGAGTAAAATCTGCCTTACTTGATAAGCAGATGGGTGTGGGTAGACGTCAGCTCCTTGAAGACTCCAGTACAATGCTGCAATTTCAATCGAGCTTTGAGATATATTTATCAGTTGATTCCATGTATCGTAAGTGGAGGGGAACTTTGGGGCTTCTGGTGGATAAGTCAACCCCTCAGGAATACTTTCCACCAATGATATCCTAGAAAATACATGTTTTTCGTTAAACATTTGTATAAATTTAACACACATGTAATTAAAAAGGGACAAGTAAATGAATAACTACCTGCAAGAATTTTGACATGACAATCCATCTAGCTTTAATTTTTCATTCCAATTTTCTGATTGTTCTAAAAGAGGCAAAAGAACCACCAGTATGATCATAATGAGAATAATGGAGATGGGAATGTAAGCAGGTTTACACCACCCTCGAGAACTCCACCTGAAAATGAACAGGAGTGCTATGAAAACACTGAATTCACCTCGAATAAAGCAACAAGAATTGAAGCACAATGAATTACTTGGAGTGTTGAGGGTGGTGAGGGAAGGAAAGATCCTCTTCTGATCGCATGAGAAAGCGGGATCCCCATTGATCCACATCTTCATCGGGCACTGAGCTAAGCTTTTTGGATGACGGTACCTGGTGACAAAGGAAACAAAACACACAACAGCATCAGTCTGTGAACATAACTTTAAACAAATCCTTTAAATCTCGGTGTGAATGACCAAGTAATGACACATCTCTTCGCCTCGACCTTCAATGAAAACAAAGTAAGGACAAAACTCACTTTAACCTTCCCGTCGAGGTTTTGACTCACGGTTATTTTCATGGTTACAAGGAGCCACGCGGCGCGGTGGGAGGACAGCGCGAGCGCTAAAGTTTCACTCTACAGGCATATCCATCCCGACCGATCCGATCAACGAAATAAAATAATGCGGGCAGCAGAGCAGCACAGCAGCCGCCGGCGGGACGCCTTTGTTGTTTGTTGACGTTCGCAGCTGTTGCAGAGGGGAGAGCGGAGGGGTGGCTGGTGGTGTGGAGGGGGAAACGGAAGAAGCAGGACCGGTCACGTTCCGGAGCGCGATCCGTTCAAAGTGTCGAATCTACAGGACCAGCAACGGAAGACTGTGGGTCGACGTGGACGTGGCGGGGCATGCATAGTCAGCACCAAGAAGGCCCTAACGTGACGCGGTCCCTCAAAATGCCTGCCCAGCGCAGTCCCAGTGCCGGGCGAAAGGCGGTGGGTAGCTAAGCTAGTCCCCCAGATGGAGCAGAATCAGAACCGCGTAGAGTTCGAATGTTGGTTCCCGAAACTGACCGCAGCCACGGACGTTGACGTCGACGCCTTCCTCTCCTCGAAGGCCAGCGGCGACTTGCCGAGGCTCAAGGTGGGCGGCCTGGTGGCGGGCCTGGACGGCCTCGGCCTCGGCAGGCCCTGGTCGGACAGCAGCACCACGTACTGCTCGGGGTCGTGGCCCAGGCCCCTGGCGAGGCTGGGACTGCGAGAGTGGTGGGGCTCCGCAGACCGGGGCCGCGAACGCCCCGACGAGCTGCCCGCCGGCGGTGTCCGAGGACGCTGGTGGTGCCGGTGGAGGGCCTCAGCCGCGGCGGAGTCGATGCGGTGCACCAAGATGTGGCATGCCTGCGCAGCGGAACAACAAACGCCGCGGTCAGCCCCGGGGTCAGCGCAGTCCCGGGGGGTACCGGGGGGCTGCGACGCGACCAACCCTACACTCGTCACAGTCACTCGGCTCGGCGGCCATCAACAGCTCCTCAGGGGCCGAGCCAGGCCGAGTCTAGCGGCGCGACGCCAGCACCGGGTGGCTTCCCCGGGGGCTGCTGCGCCATGGCTGCGCCACCCATCGCACCGCACACCGTCCCACCGCCCTGCCCTACCGCTACGCACCTGCGAGCCGATCTGCAGCAGGCCGTCGTGGATGCTCTTGGGCGCGAGCGGCGCGCCGCACACCGCTTGCTCCTCGTCGGCGACCTCGGCCTCGCCCTGGCCGCTGCTGCCCCACGGGAAGCCGGACCAGAAGGGGCTGGGCATCCTGGAACCTGGAACCACGGCGACGCGGGGAAAGTGTTTTGAGGTTTCGGCGCCGAGCTGGCCGGCCGTCAGTCGTCGTCACCGAGGTCGAGGCCGAGGCCAGGCCGCACGTTTAATTGCAGGCACGCCATGCGCAACATGCACCGCCACGCCACGCGAACCCCGAAACGCGACGACATGCTGCGCTGCTTCGCGGCTCGTGCGCCGATTGGCGTTTGGCCGAGCCGTCACGTCACGTCAGGATGTCGCGTTCGCACGTGGAGATTGCAACCGAGTAAAATCGAAACAGTCCCGTGTCAAAATCTTTCGAACGCGTTGCACGCGGCGAGTGACTCGCTTTCTTTGAAGACACACTTGCCTGCCTGCACTCACCTGGAAGCTCTTGTCCTCAGTCGCTGTGCCCCCTCAGGTCAGGTGGTCCTCGGCGCGGTGCTGCGGCGACGCGGACGACGGCGAGGACAACCCGCTGCGGGCGCTGCTACGGCGCGCGGTGGCCGCGGGAGGCGCGGGGGCCTCGGGGGCGCAGAGGCCGCCATGCCGGGGGCGCGCGCCACTCATGACTGCGGACTGCGCTGCCTCACCTTGGGGCCCACGGCGCACGGCCCACAACCCGCGGCATGGCACCCCTAGCACCCCCGGCACCCCTGGCCTCACCTCACACTATCGCGGCCCTGGCGTGGCGGCGTGGCGGCCCACCCCAACCCTTCCCCTCGCGCCCCGCCCCGCCGCGCCCCCTCCCTTTTTGCGGCGGTAAAAAGGAGCAACAGTGCTGCCGTCAATGTAGCTAACAGCTTTTTTTTGGCCCGGGGGGGGGGGCGTCGAAAATAGCACACGGTGTGATCTTGTCCTCAAGCCACAGTGGCTATGAACAGGGGCGCTGTAAAGCCCCCTCTCTCCTCTCTTCTCCCTGTTTCTACTAATTGCAACTCCAAGGGCGTTTGTGGGGCCGCGGGCCGCTGCGGGTCGGGAAGAGCCCCCCTCCCTCCCCTTTTCCATGCGCCACTGTAATATCGCGTGGGCGTACCGCCGCGTGCGCGAGCGGCGCCATGTCAACAACCGTTTGGCGTTCTCATCGGCGAGGACGCGTTGGACGCGTTGGACGGGCACCGACGGGCACCGCATCGACTGCCGACCAAACGGCAGCGCGGCAGCGAGGGTCGTTTTCGTCGCCCCTGTCTCTCTCGCACTACTCGTGGGGCGGGCAGCTGCGGCGCGAGAGAGACGAAAACAACTCTCGGAAACAGCCTGCAGCACGGCGCCACCTGCAGGCGGCAAGGACGAGACGGAGGGCGACGCCCACGACGGCGAGCAGCGAGCAGCGGGCACGCACCACAGGCACACCGGCACCCGCACGCCGCCAACGCGCGGCCGGAAAATTCAGGGGCAGAAACTGCTGGCATTACCGCGAAAACGGAGCCCAGGAAAAGTACTGACGGCATCTAGTTTGGCGGTTTGAAGGCTTTCAAGGCCAGCCAGCAGCCCCTGCCTTTGTTTTGGCCTTTCCAGCCTCGGCTCGCTGTGCCCGGCCTGGCGGCTCGCCTGGCGGTGCCTCGGGTTTACCCGCTCCGCGGCCCGCGCGTGACTCGCGGTGTCCGCCAAACATTTGCATGCCGTTGCCGTGTCGTGTGGCGCGGCTGGTGTAGCGCCCCCGCCACGCCCGCGCACCTCGATCCCGATCCAGAGCCAGCTCAGCAGATTGATTCCGAGAGTCGTTTTCGCCGCACTGTCTCTCTCGCACTCATGCGGCGTCCGCCGCAGGTGCGAGAGAGACACAGCGACAGCAGCTCGTCCCGCGGCCGGACAAATGACTCCTATTTGTCGTCGCGAACGCTTCGGCCCCGGCCTCCCCCTCCCCCTTCCTCCAGTCGACGTCGACCTAGTGGCGGCAGGGGACGGGGGGGGGGGGGACGCTCCCAATCGCCAGAAAGGCTGGCCGACCCGCAATTAGCGACCTCCCCGTCGAGTCCGCGGAGTGGCCGTCCGTCCGATCCGCCGCGCCCTCGGGGCCTCGAGGCCCTTACAGTGGAGTAGTGGCCCTTGCCCCTTCGGGCCCTTGGGCTGCAGTGCGGCGCACGCGATCCCAATCCAAGGGCTGTTTCTGTGTTCTGTTCGCTCCGCCGTGTGGCCGCCCGTCCCGCAGCCCAGGCTCAAGGTCAAGGCGGGGAGTGCCGCGGCCGGACAAGAGGGCCTAGGGCTAGGGCTCTAGGGCTAGGGCTCTAGGGCTAGGGCTCTAGGGCTAGGGCTCTAGGGCTAGGGCTCTAGGGCTAGGGCTCAGTAGTCGGCTAGGGCTCTAGGGCTAGGGCTCTAGGGCTAGGGCTCTAGGGCTAGGGCTCTAGGGCTAGGGCTCTAGGGCTAGGGCTCTAGGGCTAGGGCTCTAGGGCTAGGGCTCTAGGGCTAGGGCTCTAGGGCTAGGGCTCTAGGGCTAGGGCTCTAGGGCTAGGGCTCTAGGGCTAGGGTCAGGCTAGGCTCAGGGCTAGGGCTCTGGGCAGGGCTCTAGGGCTAGGCTCTAGGGTGCTCTAGGGCTGGTTAGGGCTAGGCTCTAGGCTAGGGCGTCTGCCTCTCGTGCGGCCGGCGCGCCTGCGCGGCAGGACAGGTCACTGTCACTGGAGTGTGTGCAGACACCGCGGCGTCGCGACCGGTCGCGGCCGCTTGGGAGCCTTGGGCGCAGCCTTGGGACCGCCGGGCCGTGTAACGACGCTGTAATTCATTTCGACGCGACTCTTCCCTGCACGCGTAATTTCAACGGGTCTGACGGGGAGGGGGAATTTGTCGGCGTAGGGAAGAATTTGGGTACAGATCGCTGCTGGAAACTAAACCCAAAAGCAGCGGGCCAGTCACGCAGTAGTGCGCCGAGCCCCCGGAAAAGGCCAACAGGGAGGGGGTTGTGTACAAACTAGCGTGACGAGGCGTTGGGAGGCGCTGCGAGGCGCGAGGCCTTCGCCCTTGACACTCCAGCAGCGAGTGCGCGGCGCGCCGCCCCGCCAACTTTTCTGCGCCAAACCAATCAAAGAACGTCGAGGATCGATCCGAGAGGGGCTGTGCCTGCTCTGCCTGCTCTGCCTGCTCTGCATCAAAGTGGACGTGCCTTCCGGACTCTCCCCCCACCCCCGCAGGGAATGCAAAGCGCGAGCAAAGCGAGTCACCGCACTGCAGCCCTTCGCGCCCGCGGCTCCCAGGCCTGGTGGGACTGGCGGGGTAGGCCTGTACTCCGACGAGAATTGGAAACCTGTGAGTTCTGGCGGTCGAGGGCAACTGCAATGGTGACCTAGGCGGCAGTGGCTCTCGATCGTGAGAGCTCAGTGGTCTCCCCAGGTCGACGGCGTCGCTTCTCCCTGAGCGCAGCACCTCGACCACGGCGTGGGCGGCACCACGGCCACCTCGGCCTCCTCGACCACCTCGACGCCTTTGTTGGCCGATTCGGGTCGATGAGTGCAATCCACGGCGAGAAAGGACGAGTTTACCTTCGGCCGCTCGGCGAAACGGGAGGGGGAAAACGGGGTGGGGGGATGGGGGCTGCCTCCGCGCCGGACAACACCCTTCCGGCAATTTTTCATTCGCCTCCATATCCGGCCGCGATCTATTAAAATCAAGGCGTGTTTTTTTGTTTCTGCGGGCTGCACGCGTGATTGACTTGACCTTGATTGGGCCTCGCGGAAGGGTAAGGACACGCGCGTGCGGAGGGCCAAGGCCGCCAAGCCGCCATGGCCGTGCGCCGTGCGGGGCGCCGTGCTATCACGACCGCCATCGGGGCACTTCCCCTGCCGCCGTGCCGCCGTGCCGGGGCGCTAGCGAGTGGCGGGAAAGTGGCGGGAAAGGCGTCGGGGCTTCGTAAATCCCCTGCGATGCGACCACACTCACGCGCATCACACACACCACACACACACACACACACACACACACACACACACACACACACACACAGGCACGCACACACACTCCAGTTGGGTGCGTCACTGCTCTCGGGACGGGGCGTGTACGGGCTTTAATTACCAGAAAGCTGCGCGACATGGTTGTGTGCTGTGGACGCGATAAAGTTACACCCGCCTTGCAGTGTGGTCGCCAGCCCGTCGCGTCGGGCCGCCGG